GATTTCTGACTCAATACCTCCATATCGATGCACGATCATCGATAGCGATTGCGTGGATCACGATGTTGAAGCAATGTTGAACCTGGGACCAAGTTTTTGTCCACAACCAGAATTCTCCAGGACTATAGAAGGTGACATCATCACTGCAGTCCATAAATATTGGTACAGTCAAAGTTGGAAACGCCAAATTGGATCCACGGCAGCAACGCTCCAAGAGACATTACGAAAAGAAATGCCTTTTCCTCGTAAATACGTACGCGTTCCACAACATGACCCTGAACTTACCCCAAAGCTGACCGCACTCAAAATGAACCTCCTTCGAGTGTTTCGCGACCACAGGAACCGGCAAACTCCAGATAACATGACAGAAACGGAGAGAGCAGGTCTCAGGAAAGCTATCAACTTAAAGAGGACGTTGCGGTTTTCAGTAGGAGATAAGTGTGGTGGTTTTGTTGTGATGTCTCGCGAGCGGGACGTGTCTCTTAGCGAACAAGTCTTATCGGATACCACTACATACGAGGTAGTTTCTGCCGAACGCTATAAACGAGAATGTCAGCACCTTGATGAAGTGGTGAAAAGAATTCTTGGCCCAAAGCTTGAGAAGAGCACAGTGGATCAACTTGTGCCGAAGTATACAAGCGTACCGACTTATTATCAACTTGTAAAGACTCATAAGTTGGTGAGAAACGAATGCGGTGATCTGGACACTTCTTCCATCAAAACGAGGCCAATAGTAGCGTCCTGTGACGGTCCAACGGACAGAATAAGTTGGTTCTTACAACGCATCCTCTGTCCCCTGCTTTCCTATGTCCCCCACCACCTAAAGAACGTAAACCAATTCCTGGAGCAGTTAACACAGTGCAATTTCCACAACGAGCCAAGTTTGGAATACGAAAGCTTCGATGTTATTGCACTGTACACGAATGTCGACACACAAAGAGCTGTAGAGGCCTGCGTACACCTTTTACATCTCCATTATCACAACCTCCAGCTTTTTGGTCTTAGTGTCGACGAAGTTGAAGAGCTGCTTCGAAACGTGGTGAAGGTGAACATATTTCGATTTAATAATGCCTACTACAAGCAGACACGTGGACTTGCCATGGGTAGCAGACTGGCTCCACTGCTCGCAATCGTTTTCATGGATAGCCTTGAGAGGTCAACTTATCGTCAAGAGTACTATACTTTGGACGATATATCGACGACATTTTCATCGTTGGGAAATCTCGAAGAACATTGCGACAAACATTTGGAAGATTGAACAGAAAGTGCCAGTCGATAAAGTTAACAGCTGAGCGCCCTTCCCCAGATGGCTTCCTCCCATTTCTGAACACTAAGATCAAGATCACGGATGGTCAGATTAGCACCATGTGGTACAAGAAGCCGGCATCCAAGAACATACTAATCCATGCGAGAAGTTGCCATCCTGTCTACATGAAGCTGAATGTGGTTCGCCATCATCTCCACATCATATAAACTGACCTCCGCGAATCCCGAAGACATCGAGACACGGTCCCCCCGTATGGCGTGTTATATAGGCGTGCCCGAGAAAAGTATAGGACGCCGAATCGCGCGCTCGCTAGCTTCTTGCCACGAAGTAGTTCGCAAATTTTCGATATGCATCGAAAGTACGTAAGCTATATAAGTAGTGTTGCAAACCATTTGGTGCATTGATCATTCAAAGCTTCGTTATGAAGATTTCACCACATCGACCCATTATCGAGAAGTTGCTCAAGGATGGGCTCCGCAGCTGCGACATCGCTAAGCGGCTCGGGATTTCCTCTTCCACTGTTCGAAATATTCTCCGGCCCGCTGCTTTCAAGGTACGAGGAAACACCTCTGCGATGCCAAAAAGTGGACGACCGAGAACTGTGAACACTCGGAGGATTCGTGCGATCATTAAGAAGAGGATCACTCGCAATGATGGAGTCAGCATGAATCGTATTGCTTCCGACCTCAGAATCAGCCGTGATTCCGTCCAGAGAATTGTGAAGAAAGAGCTGAAGCTTAACAGTTACCGTCTCTTCCGAGGCCAGTTTCTTTCGGAGCAAGCCAAGCAAAATCGACTGGCAAAATGCAAAAAACTTCTGAGCGCGCTTCAGGTGCGCCGCATTTCCGACGTGATCTGGACTGATGAGAAGATTTTCACCGTCGTCCCTTTTCCCAACCGTCAAAACCAGCGGCAGTTGCTATCGAAAGCTGACAGCAGGTCTACGAAACGCCGCCTGGCTCACAAAACCCTTTCTCCCAAAAGTGTGATGGTTTGGGCCGGAGTGACTTCAGAGGGAAAGACGCCTTTGGTCTTCATTGACAGAAACGTTAAAATCAACTCGGAAGTCTACCAGAAGGTGGTGTTGATGACAATCTGTTGCCCTGGGTCACCAAGCACTTCGCCCAACGACCTTTCATCCTTCAGCAAGATTGGGCTCCTTCTCATGCCTCCAAATCCACCAAAGCCCTCCTGGATGAGCACTTTCCCGGTTACTGGGGCAAAGAAATGTGGCCTTCTTCCTCGCCGGATCTCAATCCGATGGACTTCGCCGTATGGGGATACTTGGAAAGCAAAATCCAAGGACGCTCCTACAGCTCGGTGGACGCTCTGAAATTGGCGCTTCAGAAGGCGTGGGACGAAGTCGACGTCGATTACCTACGGCGCACAGTCGATTCAGTCGTCGATCGTCTTAAGGCATGTGTAAAAGCAGCAAGAGGGTCCAAATTTCGAGCATCTCCTTTCCTGAGTAGGTATATAGTTGTGCTTTATTTCTCGATAAAGTTTGTTGGTTGTTTGTTTCATATCTTGTAGAATAAACATAAAAATATAGCGTCCTATACTTTTCGGCCACCCTGTATATACCCATAAAAGTCATGCCTACCAATTTCCCTCTTCCTTCCGACCACCCAAGTATCCTGTAGGTTACTGTTGTACTTATTATAAGTGCTGTGACTTATTGAAGTATGTGGTATACTGTTGTATGATTGCTTAAGATTCAGTCGGCCTGAAGAAGGGCTTATGCCCGAAACGTCGCCAATAAAGTGTGATCAAGAACAAGAGCTTCTCTTTCATCTAATGCTACAACTATTTATTACTTCAAGCAAAAAATATGCTGCTACTTACATCCAACTGCCTTATGCATTTGCTCAGAGTCCTCTCGAGTGGACAGCGGCAGTTCACTTCCTTCGAGGTGATTTCACGTATATTGTCTAAGACAATCTCGTCTTCCAGTATTCTGCAGGTGGCCTAATGAAAGTTAATGCGGAACTCCTACTCATTAGTTATTCAGTAAGTTTTCGTGAATCGTCATGAAGTAATTGAATTAACGATGTTTTGTAGCTTACGTTATGTTTTTGTGAAGTTGGCGCTACAGAAATGATGGTACAATCATTCGCTACAGTGAACTCCACAATTAAGCGGAAGCTTTTGAAATGCTTCTAAAAAAGTTTAACACTGTTGAGAAATCTTCCTCAAGGAGCGGCGTGTAAATTTGTCGCATACCTCCCTGTTCTTACCGAATCTTGGATAAATTCTTTCCCATGCACTTCCTTGACGCCAGAGCACCAGACTCACTATTAGTAGAATGGGTAACATTATCGAGTAACAGCCAACCGGTTGTGAAGACGTTAGATTAAAAAATGTTGAATCATTCGCACCTCGAGATAGGTAGTGCGGAGAAAAAATCGGATCCTGTCAAATTCACGAAAGCTTTCATTCAGCTAATCGATCCGTGCTGTTGTTGACAATTCTAAGTTAAAGGTAGCGTCCACGACAGGTTTTAGGGGAGCTTGCAGGGGACGTGGGGTGCTCAATGGTACGTCAAAGGTGGAAGAACCAGAGAAATCCGTCAAGAAAACGCGAAAAGGACCCCTTTTTGGCCGTTGATCTTCACTCAAGGACGGGCAGCGGCTAAGACGCGGACGTATGGACGAGTTTACGCAACGCGTTTGGTGGCACCATGCCAATCCATGCTCCAGTCGAGTTGCTCCAGTTGTGCCGCTGCTGGCAACGCAGCTCGTCCAAATCACCAACTAAACTAGTGGGCGGATCGCTTTTGGGGGCGGAGTGCTTTCGAAGTCCTGCTCAGCAACCAGCGCACCTTTCGTCGTGAAAGCGCCACACCCTTTTCCCTTGGCGCCGAGAAACTGCTGTGTGTGGCACATATACTTTCCCAATGCACTCTCTTTATCATTATCGCTTCCCTAAGAGCGATTTGAGCGACACGATTACTGCAATCGTTTAGCTGATCGACATCTTCCCGGAACAGTAGCTCTGACTGTGTGAAACCCATTGAGACCAGCTTTTCAAACAGCGGTCCATGATCCTTCGGGGACCACGTTGAGCTCGAACCGTGCACAACGTTCCCATAGCGAATTCGTCTGATGTCGTCGATACAGAAAGCTGTTATGACATTTGCTGATGGA